AAGGCAACAACCATTGTCAACGGTATGTAGTTGTTTGCAGCAACATTTATGGAGTTGTCATTACCATCAATCTCCACGACTGATATTCGATAAGTTGTTAACTATCAATCAGTAATGTGTTCAGCGGAGAGATAAATCCTTCACTGCTAAAACTTGAGTCCTTACAATATATGGACTTGAGCTTCTACATATTTGAGAGTATTTAAATTCAAAACTTTTTAGGATTGATAAGAAACATGGTTTATCTTATTTTATCAAATGATGGCTATAGTGGTGAAATTCAGTCAAATCTTGGAAACCTTTCCACCTTGCAATAATGTTTATTATGAAATTTCTACTTTTAGTATTCTAAATCTCGAATGGTTGATTGGTCTGATTCTTCTGAAATGTCTTGAGACGTGCGAATTGGTCTTTATTTGGTAAGGATCTGACTTCCTCAGGGTACTCAACATGTTTTCATCTCTAAATGAGTTACACCTTTTAGGTTATAACCTATCAAGTTCCATTTCAACCCTTAGTATTCTTAATCTAACAAAATTTTCTGATATAAATCTTAATTCTAATATGTTCAATTCTAAGTTCCCAAATTAGCTTACGAGTATTAGTACTATAACACATATTGATTTAAGCTTTAGCAAACTAAATAGAAGAATCTCTCTTGGTTTTGGTGAATTATTAAACTTGTAGCACTTGAATCTTACTAAAAACTCTAATCTCTTTATCAGTTGCTTACAGTTATTAAGTGGAAGCTGGAAAAAGATAAAGGTTCTCAATCTAGCATTAAATAAAATGCATGGTAAACTTCCTACTTCAATTGGAAACCTAATATTTCTGAAAAATTTGATATATTTGACAACAATATTGAGTGTGGCATTCCGAACTCTACTCGTAGGCTTTGCATGTAAAAGAAGTTTGATTTGTCAAGTAATAACTTGATGGCGGCTTGCTTGAGAGACTCAAAAGGAATAGAAGATTATGCTTTCAACAGTTTTTTGCCTAGTCTTATGTACTTGAGCTTAAGCAATAATTATTTGACAAGTGATTTACCATAATGGTTTGGTAAGCTTTGATATCTTGTGGAACTAAACTTGAACTACAACTTGCTCACAAACTGAAGATCAATCTCTCGAGTACACTAAAATTCTTTCACTTGTCACTTGCATTGATCTCTCAAGCAACAAATTTGTTGGAGATTTTTTCAAAGAGATACAAAACTCTCTAGATTCATGATTTTGAACCCATCAAAAAATCATATCACAAGCCAAATTCCTTCAAACATTACAAAAATTGCATCAATTGTCTTCTCTTGGCCTCTCAGGCAATAAGCTCTTTAGTGAGACCCCTTCAAACTTGTTACCCCTATCATTAGGTTACTTAAATTTATCCAACAGTAATTTGTGGGGCATGTGACAAAATTTAGTGAATCATCATTTGTTAGAAAATGTTGGCATATGCGGTGAGCCACTATTTGTAAAATGCAAAGATAAGAGTTTGAGCGATGGAGGAAATGTTGAGGATGGTTGAGATGATGAACTGATTGACAAATGGCTTTACTTGAGCATAGGGGGTGGGATCTGCAGCAGAGATTTGGGTTCCCATGTTCATTTTAGCACTTGAATATTGAAACAATATCTATTTTAGTTCTGTGGATAAAACTGTTGAACTATTTTAGTTCTGTGGATAAAACTGTTGAAGCATCTTGCTTGAGAAACAGAAAAAAATATCAGTCATCAAACCTAGAGGGGAGCATTATTCTATTAAAATTGAAAACAGAAGGCTAAGCATAAATAAATAAATAAACACAAACAATAACAAAAATAAATCTGAACCAAATACCACCAAATCAAAATTAAATTATTATTATTTTTTTAGTCTTAATAATATATTTTATTAATAAAAAGTTAAAAGTGGAGACTAATTTTATCAGAAATTATTAATAGAATCTGTGATTAATATAATTTATAATGTTCAACAGAAAGAAAAAAAAAAAAAGACCCCACAAATTTCACTAAAATTAACAAAGCAAACAGAAAGGCAGGAATCAATAATCATGAAACCAAAGAGGGGAAATATAAAAATAGAAGGAAAAAACAATTTTTAATTTGGGAATGGTGATGTTCACACATTTCCCCGTCCCCTCAAGATAGCCAACCCTATTTTTACCCCAAACCAAACACTATATAAAACCTCCAACGTATTTCCCTTCCCTCACCATCTCCCCCTGTTCCATCTCCTGCAGTACTCTTTTCTCTACTTGGGTTTAGAGAAGTACTGCATCAAATTTCTTTCCAACTTTTAATTCAACACTTCATAACAATGGCACGCAAGTTCATTCTTGTTGCTCTCATGTTGGTAGCCATTGTTGCCTTTGTATCTGCTGATACATCTGAACCTGCAGAGGATGTCGGGGCCACTGCGGCAGAGGCACCCATCGACCCTGATCACATTGGAACAACTGATAATGATGCAGCCTCTCCTGGTGCTGCGGTTGCCGGCCCCCTTAGCAGTGAATCTGCCTTTGCCGCCACTCCAGCAGAGACACCCAACAGCGGTGTGGCTGCTCTCCACCTCTCTGCAGCTGCAGTTGTTGGAGTGTCTGCCGTCGCTGCCTCCTTCTTGTTCTAAGCTTGCTGGGTGCATCAATCAACACCCTTACCCTTCCCTCTTTGTATTTACATGAGTGGCTTAATTAGAGAAGAGATAAGAATATGCTATTCATGTTCATTTGTAATGGTTGTTTTGTTTCTACTTTATTGACAACCTGACTCTTTTTTCTTTCTCATACTCTTTTAATTTGAATAACACTTTGGAAAAGAAATTGCAGAATGGATTTTCAGTCTTTTTCACTCTTCTCATTCAAATGTATGTCTGCATGTATTTGTGCACGTACTATATCATTATAATGATATCTTAAAATTATCTTCCATCTCTGTTATCCTTCTCTTTCTGCAACTTAATCTCTGTTTACTCAGATTTAGGACCAAGAAATCTGACAATACTGAATTCCTAGTGCAAACTCCAGGATGAGGTTGCTCGTGTAGATATGAATAAAAATTTAAGCCTACTGAAAACATCAAATAAAACTTTTATAGACAAGAAAGGAGATCCAAACAGGTACAAGGAAAATTAGTTACAAAGACAGACCCCGAACTTAAAACCAGAGCAGCAGTGACAGGCAAATACAAAATAAACCCAAACTTAAAACCCTGTCGAGTCTGCCAAATCAAGAATACAGCAGCTATCCATAATCATCTCTTTAACCCAGCTACTTCTTCAAAAACATAATTATCTTTTTTTCTGTCTGAAGTTAAAAATACAAAATAATAACCAAAAAACAAAAGAGGCAGAGAAATAGAGAGAGAGAGAGAGAGAGAGAGAGAGAGAGAACTATGCTAATGACTATTTACAGCAGCAAAATGACTATTTACACGTTGAGCACCTTTTGTTTTTGACCAGTTACAGTCTGAATAGCAACTGTGAATTACATGACTCTAAATTCACTACATGTCATTGTTTATACACATCAGCTACAACAAACAAGGCTCAAAAATCACTAAAAATTTCTTACAAGCTGATTAGCAGACCCACTATAGGCAGAATTAAACAATGAAAAAGGCCATTAAAAATTGTGGACCTATTACACAAGTTCAATTTTAAGCAACAACCTAATACATAAACTCAACTTTATACAAGACACTGTTGATAAACTCAACTTTATACAAGACACTGTTGAAGCATACTTTACAGATTACCGGAATGTGCTCAAAAACAAAAGGTGAAAAACAACATAGTGAAGACTTCCTTTTGCAGACTTGAATGAGTTCAAGACCATTTATCAAAGGAATCCAAATGAAAGCAGTCCACCTAACATTTCTTCCTCCAGGCAACAATACAAGCTGATTCAATCATGACAATACAAAACTTGCCCACTCCACTCCCTGGATGTGATGATAAAAAAGAAAAACCCCCATGTCAATAGACATAGAAATAATATGTGCCAAAGACACCACCTCACAATCTACCTACATCATCCACTATCCACTACTAGTATACAGAAAGAGCATTAAAACATGAATCAACGTGTTAGAAACTCAAATCACCGAATCCTATTAGCACCACCCTTAAATGAATCAACTCCATCTTAGCCGAAGAAAAAAACTTAAATCACTTATTCGAATCCTTCTTCTCAACCCTATAGGCACTACCCTTAAAATTAGACAACAGCATAATCACTCCAATTATCCCCTTTATTCTATGAATCAATTCAGGCATACAGCCATCTAAACAATCATCAGTGAAATGATTTTTCTCGATGGACAGATCTGAAATGGAAGATAAATGCATAAAGATTACACTTATTTTTTTAAAACCTGAAATAGATAAATAAATCATTTTGATATAATTACTAGTATTTAGGAGGCTGCTTTAGGGTTCAATATGTGAGTATGAAGTATATACACATAGGGATAAGAAGAGACCACCAAGAAAAAAAATGGATGAGCAGAGAGGACGGAGGCAGGAGAAAGAACCTCAGAGATCAATTTCTAGCAAAGCCTTAAAACAGAAACTTCCAGTTGAACATTCACAAAAAAATATTACAACCCTTATCGCATCCTAGATCCTCTTAACGGCAATTAATCTAGCCCTTAATCACACTAACCAAAAACAAGTTGGAACATAAAAACCTTGAGTTCTATAACTTCTAAATCTTCTGCATGTAAAGTCTAATCGCACAGTGTGTCTGATACATCCTCCAAACAATTGCAACAGTTTCTAATTTCCCTAAGACTACAAAACTATAAGACAAATGACCACAGAGAGTCATATTAGCAACGAAACTAATATTATTGCTATCACTTGATAACAAATAAACCCATGTTTTCACCGTGGAGGCATGCCTTGAGACTACCAGTGACTCTCGTCAAGAGGAATCATTTTCATCACCAGTCCCCACAGATTTCCTATCACCATCTTTCTCATGTAAACTCTATTCTTGACTTCTTTCAACATTCTCTCTTTAAACCAAAAGGAGCCGCATGCTTGAGGAAAAAGTCTACAATAGCTAAGTTTTACATGCATGCAAGTAAATTCTCTTATGGTATATTATCTAAACTTTTACAAGCATATTATAACTTCAAAACCAAACAGAAAGAAATGAAGTGCAAATTAATAAGCATATTAACAAAAAACATGTTTCACTATCAAAAAATATCCAAAATCCACTACTACCAAAAAAGGTGCATGTTAAACATCTTAATAAGGTTAAATAAAAAATGATATCAGAACATAAACCACACAACCTATTAGCTAACACACAAGGATGGAACAAGATAATAATAAAATAAAGCAAGTGAGAAAAAGATATATCACCATGGATCAATATGTTACGCAATTCAAGCAGTAAGAAAGAAGAAGAATAAGATGATGATTATGAGTATTGCATATGTTCCATCAACCAAGGCAAATGAAAAGTATGCAGAATATGAACCGCTAAAACAATCATACAAATCACACAGGTTGCAAGCTTATCAAGATCATAATGCCAAAAGAACATTGTCTTTGAGACAGGATTATGCAGGACGAGTATAAGTGTAGTGGAACTCAGCAGCAGGGTGTCGGAACTTTGCCCCACAAAGAATATCCACATTGATATGCCACTAAACTTTACTGACTGTTTTTCAACACATAGATGTAAAGTATAGCATAGAATATTAGTTTTGTAGAATGCAGTAGAAAATAACAACGATTCTATTAATCCCTCCTATCCACACTATTAGAACTTACTTCTTCCCTCAAGAAGCTCCACTGGTGGACCAAGCACAACAGAGCAACCAAGCAGGCATATTAAGAGTGGAACACAAAGAACGAGAGGAAAGGGTGAATAGCATGATTGTGTCACTCTGATGGCAGGCGTCTCCTCTTCCCATAATCTCCCTCCCTTGATCTAGACTTGTGGTCATCCTCTGGCATTGTTCGAGACCTGCTTCGAGATCTTGAGGAAGTTTGCCCTCTGTCCCAATCGTCCTCATAAGCTGAGTCACGTTCTCTTTGTCGATGGTCATGATAACTATCTTTTTCTCCTCGGTACCTATGCTCCCTCTCAGACCTGTCCCAGTCCTGTCCCCTCTCATCATGATGTCGTCTATCATTGCTCCCTGACCAGTCACGCTCAGAAGCCCGCTCCTTTTCCCGAGAGGCAGCACTCGACCTTCCTCCTTTTTCATGGTTTGCCTCCCCATATCCATAATCAGAAGCACCATCTTCCCCACCATAACTAGACTCCCTTGTTCTTCGACCATGTTCTTCTCCTCCCCATCCACCCATACTTGGGTCAGTCCAAATTCCTGCATGAGGTCCATCCATTCCTGAGGGACCCATCATTCCCATTCCATTAGCACCCATTCCTCTCCCAAAGAAGGCAGGGTTGATGTGTGGAGCAACCCCAGCAAGTCCCATTGCATTAACACCTGGAAATGATGGAAGCATGCCAGGAAAACTAGGACCAGAAAATGCTCCATAACCACCTCCCCGACCCATGAATGTTGGATCAAACCCAGATCCCATCATCCCTTGTGGATGAACTAACCCACCAACAGGACCCCCAAATGTAGGACCTCCGAGGCCTTGCCCATAAGGCCCACCACTAGCACCACTCCCGATGGCAGCAACATTTCCAACCATGTTCTTTGCCCCTGTAACCCCCCTTCCCCTCATCGATCCACCACTCCATGGACCTCTGCTTCCAGCCTGACCACCACGTCCTGAGCCACCCCTTCCATAATTCCTTCCTACATCTCCACCTTGAAAATTCATATTACCACCTCTCCCAATTCCATCATTCATAGGCCTCCTAGGCTGAGACTGGCCTTGATTTTTGTTCAAATAAGAATTTCCTGCATTCTTTAATGTTTGTGGAGGTGCAAAGGCAACAACACATGCTTTCCCATTGAAAACATAACCATTCATTCCCTCTTTGCATGCAACTGCAGCACCTGGATCATAGAATTCTACTTGACAATAACCTTTGGATTTACCACTGGCCCTCTCGTCAAAGAATTTAATCTCCTTGACCCTTCCATATTGGGTCAATACACTCTCAAGCTCCGCATCAGTGGTCCACCAGTGTAATTCTCCAACATAAATCATGGTTGTACCACTCTCTGCCGGTGGTTGGATCTGATTTTCATTTACCATTGGATGATTAACATTTGAATTAATACCCATCTGATTAGTCGATATCTGTCGGACACCTTGAGGACCACCAGTACCAGAATTCTGTAAAGATGCAGGCTCATTCGCAACTTTCCTATCAGGCGGATCACCCCTAATAGTGGGAGGCGCTGGTGTTGATCCCTGAAAACCCATGTTTCTGATTTGGGTATCATGAGGCATTGCTTTTTGTGAAACAGAAGATGCATCTGGGTAATAAGCAGATACCATTTCAGGTCTCTTAACAGCCTGCTGCCCCCCAGCATTATGATACTTCCCTTCAGCTGAAACCCCAGGGATCTTGGATCCTGATGAGCCTCCAGTTTCCAATCTCGGTTCAGGAACATCAGTTTTCTGAGGCTGGGGACCTCCATTGCTCATACCACCAGGCTGGATGGATCCCTCAGTTCGATGCATCTGTAGGAAACCTTCTCCAACATTAACATCATTATACAGATCATCATACTCATCGTCTTCTCCCATCAGCTCTTCATCAGCCAGTGCAGGTATAGTTCCACTTCCTTGGTACTGCATCTTTTGAGCACCTGCGTACTCCTCTTCCTCGAAGTCTATCTGCTCCTCTGCCATTTGATCCATAGAATCTGGCTAAGATGTGCAGAATATAACATGAGTTAAACCTTTTCTCCATTTACATGAAGCCAGAGTCAAAAGCAAAGGAAGTAATTAGATTATCCTTTTGTTCAAACCCCACTGCCACCGTTCCTTGAGACTAAAAATACCGATAAACTAACAAGTGTAATTAAATTTAACACAGGTTTAAAATAGAAAAGTTAACATATTAGTATCTACCCACCTACCCATAGCTTATGACATTATGCATCCTGAAAAAGAAAAGAAAAGGGTAAAACACAATTTGAAACTTTAAAAGCGCTATATGTTGAAATGAAACGCTAGAGGAGGAGGAAATATCAAA